CCATGGAGCAATGCAGAGGCAAGGACATTAATTTTCAACTGAAGATACAGTAGAACATAATACGTATTTATACTAAATACAGAGATAGTTCTAATGTGGAAATAAGTATGTTAATGACAATAAATAAAGCGAAAGACAATAAGAACAATAAGAGGGAAGCATAATTGCATAAGTCATATGTTTGATTTGGGGAACACTCAGAAGACCTTCATTGTGAAAACCCCAAAGGGTGTGTATCAACGGAACAAGCTGGACACAACAGCATGTTAGACGGACACGAGCCGGAGTGCGGGCGCGCCCAGAATTGATGGACAAGTCAGAGCTGAGGCTCCGGCGACGAATAGATGGAAATTAGATGGAGCCGTGCCGGAGAGTTGCCGGAGAGTGCACAGTCATAACAGGATGCCGGTGTGGAGCTTATACGGGCTGAAGCAGTCTGGGTGGATATGGAACCAAGAGATGGATGAGTCGATGGTGACATAGGGTTTCCGCTGTATCCTCTGTGAGTGGTGTGTGTACGTGCGCACTGACCCACTATCTGGTGACATGAACATTGTCATGTCAACAACATGATTTGTGCTGCACCGATCTGTGCCAACAACGAGGTGTTCAAATCACAACTTCAGATGAAATGAGAAATCTCCAACCTGGGCAACATCAAGTACTGCCTGGGTATCTATAGGCATTGTACGAGACCCAGAACGATGCACCATCAACTTGTCACAGACCGCCCTCATTGACTACCTTGTTGCTCATTTCTTCCAGTCCGACACCCACCCTGCCTCCTCACCAATGGATGCAAACCTATGTCTTCACTGCCCCACAGAACCACTGAGTCCCCTCTATGCTGAACACCTTGCTCAAATCCCTTACCGTTCACTTGTCGGGGGCTTGATGTACCTCACTATTGGTATGTGTGCCAACATTGCCTACTCCGTTAACCATCTTGCTGGATTCCTCAACTGCTACCACTTTGAACACTGGCACACAGCCATCTATGTCCTCTAATACCTTCACAGGACAAGGACCTTGGTACTCAGACTCGGCAGCACGGTGAAACAGTGCACTTCTTATATGACTAGGAATAGCTAATTGATAGGTATTGCGAACAAACACCCAAAACAACCAACCACAACCAATCTACCTCCAAAGATCTAAGTGCTTCTCTTTGTGAGTTCGGGTCTGGGCCGTAGTATGCGACCAGCAGGTTTGAACAAACACAAGTTTGATTTATAGGCTTCCAACAATGCACTCTACAACGTACTAGCAATATGCAACCGCCAACAACAACACTGCTAGGATCCTAGGGATGGTCCGGGGGTGTTTATATGGGGTGGATACAAGATGGCTGGACCGCTAGGTCGAGAACACCAGGCAGAGTATGTAGGTTTGTGAAAATCCTCGCTAAGGGCAGCCCCAAAGACTACTGAGGCTAACAACGAATGGACTTCAATCCTCAGACGACAAGACTCTCCTTGACCGCCGACCTATTCCTTAACCAAGAACAGGAACCTTTCCGCTTTTATCGGCACTAGCTCACTACAAGCGTCCAGCTAGCGACCCAACACACTACGACAGAGCTTCCGTCTATATCGGGGTGAAGGCGAAGTAACTGACAAGTTATAGCCAAACTAGAGGTGGGGGCACCTAGTCCGTCTTCTTCTTAGTGGGCTCAAGCCAACACACAATCCACCTAGCAAGCGATCCAACACACTACGACAGAGCTTCCATCGTGTCGGGGTGAAGGCAAAGTCACTAGCGCAAACTGCAGTTGGGTCTTGAAGAGAACACCCTTGTTTTATATGTGGAGGTCTAGGACCAACAACACGAAACCCTCAACTTAGTCACTCGATGTTTCCAGAGTCCACAGTTTACTGATTCCAATATAAAGACTACTACAAGTGAAGTTCGGTATCAACCTCCACTAGCAGCCTGAGTCCACTAGCACCAGCTTCGTCCAAAGTCTGGGGCGTAATGTTCTTCTCCCTAGTCTGTTCGGCACTCCCTTTTATACTACCAGGTTCGAGTTACATGTGAAAGTGAGCTGAATAATACAATAAGCAATATTAGATGATAAGAAATACGGTCAGCCAATGAGACGACTGCCATTTGGTTTGGGGACTGGTTTGGTATATGCCAGGTCCGCCTCGCTGACCGGCTAGTGTTCAACCGTGGGTATATCAATGGATCCTCAGCCCCCCGTCTATGCCGAGTACCCCTCCCGGACCAACCAGCGATGTAGCCGGTGATCTAGGTCATCTCTACTCTGTCAGAGCGTCGATCTATTACATCTAGGCGACGCAGTGTTGCGACCGACATCAAATGGTCATAGTTCGTTGGTCAGAACGTCGATCAGACCTCCGGTCATCGGTACAGCCTGTACGATCGTCCCTAGCTCCGTTTCAATAGCCGACTGGCTATTCCCCTTTGCCCTAGCTGCCCAGATCGGGCCCTAGCCACGTGCTGTCTCATCTCGTATGTTATGTTATGTCTTTGTCAAAGCCCTAGCCGGTCGCTAGTAGGGTTATTCCGCCCAGCGCCATCTAGTTGCTTATCTAGAGATTAGATAGTACCACCGGTTACCGCGCCGAGCTTCCTAGCTCAAGGCGTAGCTCCCTAGCTGTACTTCCATCGTAGATATCTGTCTACTAGACCTTCGCTAGCTCCGTTCCAAGTCATCTCTGGACTACTAGAGTCTCCTAGGTCATGTCTCATGAATGTATAGGCAGTGGTTTAATCCCTGGTTGTTTGTACACTCAGCTAGCAACTAGCGCGTCACACTAGCGTAGCCTTGTGTTACAGTCAGCAGTTAGGGCTCGCTCTGACTCTCCTTTATATCACCTAACAAGTGGTCCGTGTACTAGCTAGGATGCTAGTAACAACAGAAGTGCCAGTTGCTTCCCGTTGTATAAATACTGGTCATAGGAATTCGCAAAATTAGCCCTAGATGCCACGCATTTATGTTACGCCGTTTCAACGGCTCCCATCTCCCTCTCAGGCCATGTTGACTTGGACTTTGTGAATAAACTCGAGAAGCGTAAATATGTCATGGGCTATAAGTTTTCACTCTGGTCTGGTATGATTTCTTGGGCCTCTCGCAAACAGAAGTGGTTACACTGTCGTCGATGGAGGCTGAGTACATTGGTGCATCTGAGGCTGCGAAGGAGGTGTGCTGGCTGTGTATGCTCCTACGCAGTATATCTGTCCCCATCAAAATCCCCACTCCCATTCTATGCGATAACAATGTGGCACGAATCCTCACTGCTGACCAGATGTTCCATACCTGTGCGAAGCACATTGACAATTGTTACCACCTGTTATATCCGTGTTGGAGAAGGCCGGAAGGACGGAAGGCCAGAAGGACAGAGAGGGCCGGAAGTGATACCACAAAGGTGAGCGGGTACACCAACTAAGATGGCTCGGAGACGGAAAGACGGAACCAGACCACAGAGTGGGAAGGAGAGTTATGGACACCATGGACTAATCCCGTAATTCCGTGTCGCAATACGTCACATCACGTGTGTTGATATACCGTGATGGCGTATGGGCATATCCTCACTCGTGTTTCTTTTCAAGACGTCGTTGTGAGGGTATGTCCGCTTTCTTATTTCTGCATACGACTCGTTACTTACCGGTACGCTAGTGTACAGTACTCACATAGTGTACAGGTGAATTAGACTCGCGTTTCTTTCCAAGACGTCGTTGTGAGGTGTACAGTACTCACATAGCGTACAGGTTATTCAACTCACAGAGCTATGCGGAGGCAAAGCACGTTAATTTTCAACTAAAGATACAGTAGAACAAAATATGTATTTATACTAAATACAAAGTCTAATGTGGAAAGAAGTATGTAAAAGACAATAAGAACAATAAGAACAATAAGAGGGAAGCATAGTTGCATAAGTCATATGTTTGATTTGGGGAACACTCAGAAGACCTTCATTGCGGAAATCCCAAAGGTTGTGCGTCAACGGAACTAGCCGGACGCAACAGGAAGTTGGATAGGATGTAACGGCTGTAAAGTAGGCCGTAGCCAGAACGGCCGTAAACAGCCGGAAAGGAACCGGAAGTGCATGGTCATAACACCACCATATCTGTGATTGTATCGAAAAGAAGAAGATTTTCTTACCATGTGTTTCATCTACCGACACCCTCACAAAGGCCCTTCCCCTGCCGACTTTCCTTTGCCATCACGCCAGTCTCAGTCTGTGTTGAGGGGGTGTTACAAGTGTGAGGGGGGTGTACTGCAGCAGGACTTGAGGGGGTGTGTTGGTCCTAGGTGCCTGCAGCAGTACGTGGTATGGTATGATGTGACCATGGACCTTATGACTAGTGACATGATGCACGTACCTCTCATCTGCTACCACATTCTGGTGCCATTAAGAGGCATGTTCTTCATCCGTTTTCATAGATTGTATACTCATATATTACCAGTGTATCGCTTACAGTAGCTACAGGTTCCAATAATGAGTAGTGCTGTGAAACCACTTGGGCATGATATTGACGGATTTTCGGAATACTTGCAGATGTATAACTTTGAAGCAATATCAATAGAGCAATCTGAAAGGTGCACAACTCGTCAAACCATGGAAGAATTCCCAACCCCACTGATTCTTAGAAAGCTCCAGCAATATTGCTTTGCTTTGCTGCCAGCAGGATTATAATTTTTCAACCAAATGCACATGACTACATTCAATTTGATTTAGTTCAACTCTTCATTGCAAGCTCTTTCATTTGTACAAGGTGATATTTGGAGAGATGAGCTACACCAAGATGTTCAATAGAAGCCAGGCACTATTGAGTTTTGGCAACTTTCATCTGACAAAATGTGCTGGGAATAGTGCTCAGAAGACCACCCAGGTGATGAGAGAAAGCAGAGATGGAGATCTAGCCGGTGTGAGACTTCGAAAAAAACTGAGAACCATAGGCAGCTACATGTACTGAAAGCGGCTATGCGCGGAAGTCTTCAATCGGACGTAAACCCGAGCAGAACAAAAATACGACATTGGCATGATTCGAACATGCGCCCTACAAGAGGAACAGATACTTTGATTCGAATCTGTCGCGTTAACCACTCCGCCACAATGCCGTCCCTCGTTGCTCCGTGCTGAGTAGATGTCAGGTCTGTGACGTGATGGTCGCTTGAGCCTTTCTTTTTGGTGTCAATTTTTCGCCTCGAAGCGAGAGGGCAATGGGAAAAATTACTCGAGAGTCGAGACGGGCGCGTTCTGCCGACGCGGATCCAGACCTTGGAGTCCAGAATGCGTCACGAGGTCTCGGCGGGTCGTGACTCGCCTCAGCGGGTGAAATTGATGGCGGTGTATGAGCCGTAATTCTGTTTCTTGAATGTCGTCGCCGGTGTCGTCGCTGACGGCGTCGCGGTCGTCGTCGCCCGAGCCGTGTGTTCAGCCAGACCACTTCTACGGCGATGCCTCCCATCTCCCGCCCTCCCCAGACTCCGACAAGGCATACCTGTCACCCGAGGACGACCCCCTGGCCCATCGCGGAATCCCCGTCTTCAAGCCGTCGATGGCAGAGTTTGCAGACTTTGAGGGGTACATGAACCGGGTCGAATGCTGGGGCCGCCGGTCGGGCATCGTCAAGGTCGTGCCACCGCCAGAATGGACGGCCGCGCTACCAGACGTCTCGGGACAACTGACTGGAGTAAAGATCAAGAGTCCCATAGAGCAATTCATGCGCGGGAGGGCAGGACTGTTCCGCCAGGAAAACGTCGAGAAGCGCAAGCTCATGAGCGTGCGCGAGTGGGCCGAGCTCTGTGCAAAGGACGAGTTTCGCGCACCCGGCAAGGATCAGGTCGGCGTGCACAACAATCCCAGCGCATCTGCCCCTCTACGCCGCAGGAAGAAGCAGACCCAGCCAAAAGACAAGCAGCCCGAGGTGAACGACGAGCAGCCGGACGTCGCGATGGCTTCGCCGCCAAACAGTCCGTCCCCAGATCCCGACGATTCCAAGGACCAGCACGACACCGACTCCAAACCGGACATTGATTCCAGACCGGACGCCAACAACAAGGCCCGCAACCGCCGCCTCGAGCGCGCCGACAAGGACGCGTCTTTCCTGCAGTCCTTCCGCCCGCACAACGACTGGCTGCCCCAGGGAACAACCGCCGCGGACTACACCCCAGAGTTCTGCGCCAAGCTCGAGCGCGCCTTCTGGCGCAACTGCGGATTGGGCAAGCCCGCGTGGTACGGCGCCGACACCATGGGCTCGTTATTCCTCTCCTCCACCACCGCCTGGAACGTCGCCTCCCTCCCCTCGACGCTCTCGCGCCTTCTGCCCCAGAGCACCGGCCTCCCCGGCGTAAACACCCCGTATCTCTACTTTGGCATGTGGCGCGCGACGTTTGCGTGGCACGTCGAGGACATGGACCTCTTCTCCATAAATTATATCCATTTTGGCGCGCCCAAGTTTTGGTATGCTGTCCCTCAGGCGAGGGCAGGTGCGCTCGAGGATACCATGCGGGGTGCGTCGTCTCTCTCCTTTCCCTCGTTCAGATAATAATATTTGTCTAGGCTACTTCCCAAAAGACACCTCGCAGTGCCCACAGTTCCTGCGACACAAATCCTTCCTCGCAAGCCCTACCCTCCTCGCCCAGAGCGCTGTGCGCCCGAATCATCTGGTTCAGCACGCAGGCGAATTCGTAATCACCTACCCCCGCGGCTACCACGCCGGCTTTAACCTCGGCCTCAACTGCGCCGAATCCGTCAACTTTGCGCTCGACAGCTGGCTCGACGAGGGCCGCAAAGCTGCAGTGTGCAAGTGCGTCGACTACAGCGTACGCATCGATGTCGATCAATTGCTCGAGGACCGCCGGATCGAGGCTCTCGAGAAGACCGATCCCGCTGCCGCTGCGCGCGCGCGTGCCGTGCGCGATGGGCTCGAGGACGTCGACGCGGAGCTCGAGCTTGCTTCTGCCACCGCCTCTGCATCTGCACCCGACCCGCAGCAACACAAACCCACCAAGCCCCACCCCACCCCCGAGGCAGCGGTGAAGCGCAGCCCACGCAAGCGCAAGCCAACAGCGCCGTTCGAGATCGAGCCTGACGCAAAGCGCGCGCGCACCGTGTCTGCTTCATCCTCGTCGCACTCGCGCGCACAACCCAAGCCTATCACGATCAACCTCGCCGCGCGCCCCCTCGCGCCCGCGCCGTATGCTTCTTCCTCATCGTCCTTCCATGCTCACCCCCAGCCCCACGCACATGCACACGCCCCCGCCCAGAAGCTCACCCTCAAGCTTGGGCCGCGCCCCGCCTCCCTTCCCTCCGGCGCTTCGTCCCCCATCGCAGAAGAAACCTTCCCCTGCTGTCTCTGCGTCGACCCCTCACCCACGGGGCTCGCGCGCGTGCACGACCTGCCCCCGATGTGGCGCGAGCTCGCCCCCGCCGCGCGCCTGCACTTCCCCCAGCAGCGCCCCACCGGCGTGTGGATGGCGCACGAAGGCTGCGCCATGGTGCTGCCCGAGACGTGGGTGGACGAGATCGACGGCGAGCGCGTCGTGTTCGGTGTGGACGGGATCGTACGCGGGCGGTGGAGTTTGGTGAGCCTTTCTCTTTCGAATTCCCAAGTTTAGTTGATTAACTGACGCGATGCACTGCAGAAATGCTCCGCCTGCACGCGCGCGCGGCTCAAGGCGCACGGCGCGCTCATCCAGTGCGCAAAGGGCAAGTGCCCCAAGGCGTTCCACGTCACCTGCGCGCAGAACGGCGCCCGCACCGGCACCGGAATCGCCTACACCGTCGTCCGTGACGTCGAGAAGGAGGTTGGTTCTTCTCCTTCCCATCTATTTATTTATCTGCTTCACGACGTAGCTAACCTGCTCCTGCTCCAGGTCGTCCTGCTCGAGCCCGCCCCGGGGACGGACCCGAACACTCCTCTGCAAGCTGACGAGCCAAACCTGCGCGTGCTCAAGGTGATCAGGAAAACCGAGGTCGAGGCACTCTGCGCGCAGCACAACCCTGTACGTCCCTCTCCCTCTCCCCCTCCCCAAATTAAATCTAACCCATTCGCCCCGCGCAGGTAATCGTCGCCGAACGCCGCGCCTCCAAAGCCGAGGGCCTGCGCGCAGATATTCTCGCACTCGCGCCCCTCTCGCGCATCAAAGTCCGCGTGAGCGCCGGCGTCTTCGAGGTGACGCTCGTGCGCGTTTACGAAGAGCGCCGCAGCGTCGAGGTGCTCTGGGACGCGGCGGGCGAGATGCGCGAGCTCAAGTGGGGCGCGGTCATCCTCGGGCAGACTAGTCTCCCGACGATGCAGTGTGAGTCTTCTTGCTTTCCCTCTTCCTTGTCCTCCGCTGATACTGGCACAGTGCCGGATTTCAACGCCAATCCCTTGAAGTCGGCGCCCAATGCGAATGTGTACGCTGCGGCGGGACCCAGCACCAGCACGAGCGCGCGTCCAATCGCACCCGATGCGCATGGCTACTGGGCTAACGCTGCACGGCAGAATATGATCACCATTCCCGCCGCGGGCTCGTCATCGCGTCTCTCAACAGCCTCGACCTCGACCCCAAATCCGCAGCACCAAGCGGCCTCGGAACCTCATCCCGAAGCCCAGGCTCAGGCCCAGCCCCATAGCCAGACCCAGCAGCACAACCCGTACAGCATCTTCAAGTACGAGTATTGGCCGCCGGGATACGCTTACCCCGGTGCTGCGGGTGCAGGTACGGGTGGGGGCGTGTATTCTCCTCCCACCGCGGGAACTCACGGTCAGAGCGCGAGCTCGGCGGTGTATCCCTCCGCTGCGGGCACGGCAAACCCTACCAACCCAAGCGCCAGCACAAGCACAAGCACAAACATGAACACGGATACCGGCTCCGCCAACCATGCAGCTGGGCCCGCCCCTGCGACGCACTATGTGCCTATGAACCAGTATTACACGGGCCCCCAGCCGTGGTCATCCCAGTACTACCGGCCGACGCAGGCGTACTATCCCCAGTACACGTCGCAAGGACAAAATGCCGCCGGGCATTCACCAGCCGCCCCTGCTCTGAATTCAAATCCGAATTCAACACCCATTACTGTTTCGATTGCTACTCCTCCTACATCGAATTCTGCTGCTTCACAGCCTCCAGTCGCGATGCCAGCCGACGTCCACCGGGTGACGCCTGTCCCTGTGCAGCCCACACCTGCACCAAGTTCTGCCCCTCCCGCCTCGGATCCTCCTACTATCGCTTTTGTACCGGATCCAGCGTCTGCTCCATCCCCTGCCCCGACCTCCGCAATGCAAGTCGATGTCTCTCAGGCGACGCCCGTCCCTGTGCAGCCCGCGCCTGCACCAGGTCCTACCCCTCCCGCCTCGAATTTTACTATCGCTTCTGCACCGAACTCAGCGCCTGCTCCGTCCTCGGTTTCGATGCAGCCGAGCCCTGCAATGCAAGTCGACGTCCCGCCCGTGGCCGCCTGATGATAGACCCAGATACCACACAAGCACTCATTCGTAGAGCACGACGCTCTTCGATAACTTATCCCCACGACGTTCTGGTCCGTTCTTCGTCTCTATTCGTCTATTATGGACTGCTCGTAACCTTACCTCGTAACATATCTTACAACTGTGTAGTTTTAGAAAATGCCTCGAATGAAACCTTTCTCATAGCATCTAACTTGCGAGCAAGGTTTTCTATGATCCTCGATTCTCTGCTGCTCTACATGATATGCCACACAGGGGGTATGTATCCTATTACTGAAAGTCTAGTATGTTTCTGCATTCGCATTCCATCCACAATGTCCGCGCAGAAAAGGTTTTGTAAGTAATCAATCTCTATGCTCCGGGGCGGCCAATGGTGTTGACCTAGCGAGTGCACGCATCAGCGACACGGAAACAACGAACGAGGACAAGATACAAACCTTGAACCCAATCTCGGTGAGCTTGGCCGCATCGACGAGGAGCCGTCCGTCAAACACAAACGCAGGCTTCTTCATGTGCTTGTACACCTCGCTCCAGTCGATCTCCTTGAACTCCTTCCACTCGGTCGCGATGACCACAGCCTCAGCGTCGCGGCACGCCTCGAGCGCGCTGCCGCAGATCTTGACCTGCTTCTTGATGCTATCGAGGGGCACGTTGGGGCTTGCC